GTATCCTTAAATGTGGCTGTTTTCCTCACATAAAGGCTTTAATAAATTGATAAATGAATAACCTTAAAGGTTAATGTAATATTCACATTTTATTGCTCTGGGAATTAAATGGTTCCAATAAGTAACAGTTTAGTGCCACAATTGTGATATCCTAGAAAAATGAATTTTCTTTGCATTTTAAAGTCATTACTATCAAAACAATATTCCACTAAGAAATCTCTTATTTAAAGAACAATGACATTTTGAATATAAACACTAATATTTATGCGATTTTAAGTAACTGTCCTGTGTTTTTTAATATTTTAGAAGTTTTTGGATTGTAGGTATGTATTCCTTTTAAGAACAGAGAACAATAGAGCAATTATGCAATTTATGTAAATATAATGTTCACAACTAATGTATTATTCTTGCTCCAGCTATTTTTATGCCTAGTAGAAACAAATCTTCTTTCAGATTTTTCCACACATAAAGATCATTTTAAAGTAGTAGAGATTTGTCCAAGTGTGACGTTAGAAGCTGAATGCTCTAAAATACCTGTGTATTTTAAAGTATATGTGTTCAGTCTGGGAAAATCACACTTATAACAGTTTAACAGGAATTTCAGGCATCTATAAGAATTACCCAAATGCCTCATCTCATTCAATTTAATGTTTTGGTACTACTGTCAAAACTTTCTATGATTTGACTCAGGAAATAAAATCCACAGAAAGCATTTTCAAAATAAACCATTCTTGGTTATCTAAAACATCTAAATGAAAATAATTTATTCCTGAAATCAGTAATCATGTAATATCACTCAGCATCTTGAGTCTCATTGCAAAAATAAATGAATACACATATTTATTTGAACACTGCTTTGGCGATTAACTGCTTCAGTTCAGCGTATGGTCATCTTCATTGGCAATCACATTGCCCTACAGATTCAAATCAGAAACATGGCACTGCATGCAAATCAACTTAATAGTAACTTTTTATTTAATTTTAGCAAGTGGAAAAATAGTACCTTGATAAAATAACTCATTTTTAATTCTGTAAAAGCTGTTTTCAACATTACTGAAAATATTCGCAGAAGCGAAAGCCAGGGCGGAGGGGTACACATCACCTGACTGGAGGACTCGGCTCCTCCCTGGAGGACTCGGCTCCTCCCTGGAATACGGGGGACCCCGCACTGACCGCACTGACCGCCCTGGAGATTAAACAACTTCCTCCGCCTGTGAGGCGAGGGAGGCTTTGTGCAGAATACGGCACCTGATGTTCACTCTGAGGATTTATTAAAAATATTTCAGCAAAAATCAAAGTAGTTTTTAAATAATGACAAAATTTCTGGGGAAAAATAAAGAAGAATTGACTAGTAAATGCCTATGGAAAACTGTTAAAATAATTTATTTTCTTTGTAAAGCAAACAAAATGAACAATTTTATAAAAAACTTATAGCTACTATAATAACACTGCAGTGGGGCTATGATATTTGAGGATGCGCTGTTGTTTTTACCTTTAACCTTTTCTGTTTACAAAGGACCCTTTACTCGCTTCCATTTTACCCTTTGCCAGAAAGAGTAATAAACTGGAACTCAAAAAATCCATCTCACCTCATATCTACTAAAAACAATTAGTGAATTATAAAATTTGTTAACTTCTCTGACTTTTGATAGTGCTTTGCAAGTTTTCTGAGCTTTTTTTTTTAGAGTTTATGTAGGAGAAGGTATTCTAGATATAAAATCCTTATTATATCTGTCACATCTGTCCTCCATCTGAGATTGCTTGTTCATAAGGTGAAAGAAAACTTATTTTTAAGCACTTTGACTATCACAGCACTCTATACACAAAAGTACATAGTATATGATTTTTTTTTTTTTTGGTACCGGGGATCGAACTCGGGTCCTTGCACTTACAGAGCAGACAGGCAGAACCACTGAGCTAAATCCCCGGCCCCATAGTATATGATTTTAATAGATTTCATTATTTATTAATTTATTTAATAGATTTCATTCCCCACTATTTTTACACACTTTTGTTATTCACAATACCTTAGTATTTTGAAATTGAGTGAAATTGAGTGAATTCTGAGACTAAAATTCTAAGACTAGAATTCTAAGACTAGAATTCACAGGAACCAAGTGTGTTTGGTCATAAGGTATTACTACACATGGAGAAAAATAAACAAATACGTGTTTAAAATACACATTTCAGGGCCGGGGATTTAGCTCAGTGGTTCTGGTGCCTGCCTCGCAAGCACAAGGTCCCAAGTTAGATCCCTGGTACCAAAAAAAAAAAAAAAAAAAAAAATACACATTTCAGTATAAGTACCTTCCCACTAATGCAGACACAATCCATTCAATCAGTTTCTTCACCTCTAAGAGAACAAGAAATACTTCAGGCCTTGTTTAAATAAGGGGACAGTACTAAAATTGAATACCATGCGTACTGCTTGATAAGACCACAAAAATATTTAAAAATTCCCTATATTTACAGCAATATTTAGAAAAACATGTACTCTAAATGGTGACATGAACACCATTTAATCATTGTTGGGATAATTTGTAATTATCCAAAAATGAAAACAACATAAAACACCAACTCATGACTGGCAATTGCCATGTGTTTTTATTACTTACCATGTTCTTATGCCTCTAAATATTGATAATGTAGAAATTCTGTATAGTATATAACTTGACCTAATAGAACAACCATTACAATATTCATGAAATCATTACATTTACTACATATAATCTCCATAAAATTATTATTCCTTTCTAATCATTAATGTACTCACAGATTTTCTTCTACTTAAATTAGATGGTTTCTAGTACAAATCAGACTTTCATGCAGATAATTGTTTCACTTTTTCTTGAATCTATTTTGATTTTTGAATTCCAAAATATCAATTTTCTTAGAGCAGTGTAATCCCTTAGCAACATCAAAACTATTCTGAAGCATAGTATCATTTTTCCCCATGAGAGGTGCAAGCAACAGTATTCTAGGCAAGACTCTTACTTCCTGACATGGTTAGGGTTCATTATTCAGATCTTTGCTGTCTGTCATAAAAATAACATATTCTTCACACTTATTTTTGTTTTGTTGACACTCTTGAAACACGAACAATATAACTTGTATAAAAATCCTGTTCAAACATTTTAAGTTAGTGCTGTTTCATGGTGCTTGATAAACTATGTGTCTTCAAAATTATTTCCACTGGGTTGGGGATTTAGCTCAGTGGTTCTGGAGCCTGCCACGCAAGCACAAGGTCCCAAGTTCAATCCCCGGTACCAAAAAACAATCAAACAAACAAAATTATTTTCACTAATTACTCAGAGTTTGATTTTAGTTTACTTAGTCATGTAAATTATTCTCCTGGTGTGAATTGGGGGTAGGAAATGGGAGATTAGATTAAATGTTTAATAAAATAACAAAAAGTTGGCACATTTTAAAGAATCCTGAATCTGGAAGAATTGGTGCTGTGGCAGTTTCCTGCACACCCTGGAATCGCAGGCACCTGACTTCCATGTGGTTATTTATTCTCCCCGTTCTGCCCACTGTACTGTTCCCAAAGGTCAAATTCAGTCACCCTAAAGGTTAACTCACTTGCTATCAGAAGTGACAATCATATTCTCAATTCACTCAGTATATCATGTGGGCTTTTTTGTAACATGTGTCTTTTATATTGCATAATACTATTGAACAATATGGTATTTACTATAGTATTTAAATGTCATACAAGTATAGGTTAGCCGGATAAACCATATCATTTTCTCTCTGCCCCTCCACCTCCTTAAGGCAACAAAAGAACGCCTTTAACAAAGGAAAGCTTAGTAGGAACTCATAGAACTCATAATTAACTTGACATAAGTTTAATTACAAAATCAACAATTTATTTCTTAAATTCTCTGTTTTAGTTTATTCAGATATGCACAGAATTATAATACTGCTTATTTTTTGTTATTTTCAAAGGAATGCTGGCCTTATAAAACTGTTTTAAAGGCTCAACAAATAACTGAGTTACATGTCTTGTATGCTACCTTCTAATTTAGACTGAAAATGTAATTTAATTAAATTCTAATGACATGTTTATACCTTGCCTTAGAAATTCACAACCTTCAACTACTTCTATTAATTTGGTCCCATCAAATATTGCATAAAGTTTAATGTTTTACAGAAATTTATTTCATTCATATAGACTTTTAAGAAGAATAGTAAATTTAAGTAACTTTCTCAGGATAAGTCCAGCAATAATTGGCAAGACAGGAGGACAATTCAAAAGACCATTTTATATAAAGTATCTTACTGTACATCTTTATAGGAAGGACATATTTTTCCTGGACCAGTCAATGTATTGGCTTTCTGGGTCAAATTGAATTGCAGCCTACTACGCTTCACTTCTTTGGTGATTTCCACCTACTTAACTTACTTTCTCAAAAAACTCCCTCTTGTACACAACTCCTGATTTTTTGCTTTATGTTTCTTCTGTCTTACTCTTTTTTGGATTATTTTTGAAGAAGAACCTCATAGGAAATTTGTGGTGACCAAGTCATCTTCATAACTGCTTTACTAAGTACAATGATCAATTTTAGGACATATTTAAGCAATTCATCCATATGTAAATCACTCCTGTGCATCTTAACATAAATAGAATTTTTCATTGTAACAAAAGAGCAAACCTAAAGAGCAATAGCTCTTCAAATATACACAAGCCTCATCTGTTAATATACTTTGCTTTCCTAATGAAGCTAAAAATCGTCTGCTGCATGAATAATCCAATTGTTTCTCTTATCTGGTGACAAGAGGCCAATTGTTGAGCCCACTTCCAAATGCTGTTGAAAGCAGCATTGTGCAACTGACGTCTCAAGCTAGAAGCACAGGGAACTGACGTGTCCAAGGTCATCAATATTTCCAGCTGTTCATTCTACAACTGAGAAATCTCAGAGATGAAGCTAACAAACCATACTGAGTAAAGACACAGGAAGAAGAACACACAGAATTTAGAGATTGAATCTAGTACTCACGGAATGCTCTATAAAACTCTTCCAGTGCCAGGTGCTTGTCAGCATTGAGATCATCAAACTTCAGCAGGTCATACAGAGTACATTCAGGGCGATCCTTGCCGAGGTCCTCCTGTGTTATCACCTGACAAGCAAATTATAGCCACACTTTGATATCTGCATCTTCACAGTCCTCTAATATAATCATTTACATACTGCAATCATCACATAATAAATCAACTTAAATTGCAGTGGGGCAAGGAAACAAAACTAAGGAAAAGCCAGTCATTTTTAACTATGTCAAAGGCAAAATTATAATGTTAAAAGATGTATGGAGAATTTGTACAAAGTTTCTGATATAATAGACTCAGTGTAGGACCCAAGAAGTCCAAACACTTTGTATTTTACATGTTTACCTTGCTCTGCTTATACCAATTTGAGGAAATAACTTTGCATGTAAATTTTGTCCTGTGTCTTAGTGTCCTATGTCAAAACAACCTTCTTTCCCCAAAACACAGTGTGGCAGTTTGTGCCCATTTTCTTCTCATGTTAGAGATTTTTCCTTCTGGGTCTGAACCCCTCCCCAGCTGGCAGCTAAGTCACTCAGGGTTGTGTACGACTCGTGGCCACCCAAGAGCCACGACTGTTTCTAGCACCAGGCTGAGTCACGCCCTGACTGAAGACGGACCCTTCAGTGTGGGGGTCAGCAGTGCTGAGCAGCTCCGTGCTGAGGCCTGGGGCTGAAGCTGCAGCTTTCCCAGCCTCTACAGACCTGACTGCTGCCTGTCCTGTAACCGGGCTCCCCACATCACAGGGACGTGGGCAGCTGGATAGCTGGGTCTGCGATCTCCCAAATAGCAGTAGGAATCCCTTGGTTTCCTGGGCTTGTTTGAAAGGTGTCGCAGAATCTCCGAAGTCAGCCAGCTGTGTATTCAGGTCCTTTCAATGCCATTTTAGAGCTCTGTCATTTCTGGCAAATCATTTCACCTTCATGAACCAGAAACGGAGTGGGAGATCATCCCCCACACGGTCAAGTCCGAGACAGAAGAGATCATCTGTACTTTAAAGCGACCCTTTACAATTACAAGGGATGATCTTTTGGATAGCACGCATCTTCCAATAACCCGCTGAGGCTTCCAGCGCCGGCGTGTGCGTGCCCTGGCTGTAGCCCACCAGGGGCTGTCGCTCCTCTGAACATCGCAGAGCGTCTCAGGCAGTCTTGCTGTGACAAAGGCAGGTCGCAGGTGCCCTTTTCCAACGATCCTCGGACGCTTCTGCGCGGCATCTTTAGGCCTCTCCGGCACACTCGCGCACTGGCCAGCCGGTTACCAGAACCAGTCTGAATGAGGGAGACTCTGGCGGTCTCTGGGGACAGTGTGAGCACAGGGTCAGCAGAGCCACTGGCACCCCGGTCACCGCAGCACTCTGCAGCAACAGTGCCACAGAGGCTGCGAACGGCGCCGCTGCAGCGCCGTGAATTCTCTGCTGCTGGGTGTGCTATAAAATGTTTCTGTCCAGGCTGATATCTGCCACCTTAGAGAGGAAAAAGGCACAAAGCTGATCTGGTTTAACTGGGCTTTGTGAATCGGTATTATGGACAGGGAATCACGTTGCGTGGTCCCGCTGGAAGGATTAACGGGGCTGCCTGAGAGCTAAGGCATCGTTCCTGTAAGACGGGGCAAGCAAACCCTGCTTTTCTTTCCTGCTGAGAGAGCCAGGAGCGTGGTCCTGCCCGACCTGCTGTCAGCGACATCGCAGGAAGCGGCTCGTCCTGGGCTGGCAGTGGGAACAGAGGGCGGGGGCGGACCTTCCCTGCGGGAGCCTCAGTATCCAGGCGGCCGAGACCCCTGAGCGCCACCGCGTTTTTGGAAGGTTTCGGTGACCTTTACTCTCATACTTACTTCAAATAGAGATGATGTAGAGAGCTGGAGAACGGATTTGCTGGGTTTTTTCCTGTCTCGATGTTTATTTTGGTCCCCTATCTTACTCAAACGAAATCCACATATTAGGCCAAGACAAGAGATTTCTACCTCTTTTCCTGACGGGGCGTCCGGCACAGAGCAACCCGACCGAGTTTCGCTCACACCACTGAGCCGGGCACGCGGCCTCAGTGACTGAGCGGCCTTCCAAGGCCACCCGCTAGAGGCTCAGGGCCTGGTCCGTGTGCTGTCAGCAGCGAGGGGGCTTTGGAAGGTGCAGCCCAGCAGGAGGAAGTCAGGTCACCGGGACGGGGCGGGGCGGGGCGGGAGGGCCAGCGTGGCAGTCCAGTCCTTTTCTCTCCCTCCGGCTCCTCTGCTCCCCCTCCTCCCTCTCTCGCCTTCCTCCCTTGCTCCCTCCCGGTGTCTCCTTTCCCAGATGTGACAAGGTGAGCAGCTTTTCACCGTATTCTCTCTGCCATGCTCTGCTGCCTCACCTCACGCCCAAAGGCGACAAGCCAACAAACACGGACTGACACCTCCGAGACCGAGCTACAGTGACCCTTCCCTCCTTATTAGTGGATCCTGTCAGAGATCTGTTACAGAGAAAAAAGCTGACGAATACAGCTTGCGTTAGAGAAATTATTCATGCTGGCTTTTTAAAAACTTCACTGGGGGGTATATGTTCAGCGGTGACTCAATGCCTCTTCCATCAATATTTCAAAAATGTTTTATTCACTTATCCTATTGTTCATCAATAGTTCACTTACAACGTAATTTTAGAAATGAGCTTCCCCCTTTAGGCTTTCTGGTACTAAGTGTTGACATACATTCTGTAACCCTAATGAAGAATATAATTTATTACACCTTTCTTTTTAAAAATAGCTTTGTTCAGATAATTTTTTGGTTTTTTGAGACAAGGTCTTGTTGTATAGTTTGGGCTGTCCTTGAACTCCTGGCAATCCTCCTGCCTCCAGTGTTGGGATTACAGGTGTGCACCACCACATCTGGCTCCAGATAAATTTGATTTACAAAACACTTCACATATTTAATGTGTCTAGCTTGTGCGTTTGTGGGATCTTTCCATCAGCATGAAAAAAATACTTCAATTACCCCAGTTTTGATAGCTGGTTTTTGTTGGAAGAAAATGTGATAGAGTATATTAGTAGGGGCTGGGGATTTAACTCAGTGACATCACACCTGCCTTGCAAGGACAAGGTCCTGAGTTCTATCCCCGGTGCCAAAAAAAGAGAGAGTATATTAGTAGATCTACTAATTCAGTAAACCAGCCATTCATTGGCACACGATTTTGAAACTCTTTTGGCTTTCATAATTTCCTGTATTTTTTTTCATTTACTCTCTGTCACTGGTTCCAAAAACTCTGCATTCTAGGCTCTTCAAAATGCACAATTCCCTTCTGGAGCAGCAGCTGACAGCAGTGCTAGATTCACAGAAATTATCCAAATTTAAATATCATATAATGAAAACTCAGTCATAATTTCCTTTGTCATCCACGGTGAAACAGTGAAGATGTTTCCCAAATTCCAGAAAGCTACAAACATAAACACTGCCACTCTTTTTTCCTGTTTAGAGTTGATTTCCAGAATCTTGGGCTCCAGAGGGTTCAGGATGAGGCAGAAGTATTAGTAGAAAGTATGGCTGGAGGTTTCGGTCAGAGGCCCACCATTCCATTGGTGAATGCTTGCAGATCCCAGGGAGCAGCAGTGTGGGCTGCAGGCGATCCCAGTCGTCGGGGCTCTGCCCCAACCCCAGAGGCTCCTGCGCACTCGCCCAGGCTGGGGGCCAACCCAGAGAGGAGCTGCACAGGCACACAGGCTTCAGCCAGAGGCCCCCATTCATCCCTTGGTGAGCACAGATCCTGGGGAGCAGCTGTGTGGCCCCGACCTGTGAGGCTGCAGGTGGATCCCAGCCAGGGCTCCGCCCCAACCCCAGAGACTTGGGCACACCCGCCCAAGCCAAGGGCCTACCAAGAAAGGGGCTGCAAGTGTGCACTGGCTTAAGCCAGAGGCCTGCCATTCCACAGGGCACAGCCAGGGACCCGCATGGAGCAGAGCTGTACAGGCACACAAGCAGTGCCCAGAGGCTCACCCCAATACCATTGCCAAGTGTGTGGAGACCCTAGCCAAAGTCTGAGGAGACAGAAACTGGTGTTCAAAGCCCCCAAACAGGCCCTCCCAGGCAAAAACTACATAGGGTCCCCAGCAAGAGGCATGCCTAGATACCATCACAAGTATGCACAGGCCCCAGCCAGCAACTCGCCCAAACAACAGGTCAGCTCAGGGATTCAGAGGCCACCACTCTGAATGCAAGAATTGGTGCACACGTGAGCAGCACAGTGAAGGCTGCTCCATGGCTTGCTGAGGAATCAAGACCACAGGGTGAGCAAAAAGACGCCTCACAAAGGCACAGCAGGCTGCATCTTGTGAAATGAGAAAACACATACACAAGTCCCAAAACCAGACTTCTAGGTCACCTAAGGCAACCCCAAAGGGAAAGGAGATGGAACAATCTGCTACTCAACCACCTGGACTCCCTGAACTGGCAATGAAAGAGGACCTGGAAAAAATGAAATCAGAAATAATTTCTCAGAAAACAACAAAGACTGTGTCCATAGTGCAAGACATGATTAATAAATCTAGAGCAGACACAGATAAAAAATACAGGAGCTGAGGAACATGATGGAATCCCAACATAGGAAACAAATGGAATCCATAAAACAGATGCAAACAGATTTCCAGGAGATTAAAAACTCCATTGAAAGTTTACTCAGCAGAACGAGTCAATGTGAGGACAGAATTTCAGATATAGAAGATAACATTGCAATTAGTGACCAGGAAAAGAAAAATTTCTTCAAAATAGTAAGGGAGCATGAGAAATCAATCCAGCAGCTGCTACATGATGCAAAGAATAACATAAGATTGATCAGAGTCAATGAAGAAACAGGAGAGAGTGCAGATGACAGAAAAAAAACTGTTCTCAGAAGTAATGTCAGAAAACTTCCCAAATAGGGGAAAAAAACTTGACATACAGATAAGTGAGGCATATAGTACTCCAACTGGCCATGATCAAAAAAATCTACACATAGGCATATAATAGTTAAGATTCCAGAAACTCAACCAAAGAACAAAATTCTACAAGCACTTACAGAAAAGAAACAAATCACCTACAAAGGAAAGCCCATCAGAATCACAACAGACTTCTCAAAACA